AGGTTCTCTATAAACTCCTGTAAATCTCTAGAACACTGGATCAAAGTCTTCATTGATTTTCATATCAATATAGTGCTTAGAAAAACCAATAAGGTTTAATTGGGCACCTTCCTACCATAGCATGGCTTATCCCTTACTTTTTCCCTCAGAGCTGACTCTAAAATATACCTTCATTTCATTCATGCAGTTTAGTTTCACTTATATAAATTACATCCTTATCAGCTTATGAAGAGCTCAACTGCACGTGGGTTCCCAAGCCCACAACAGTTTCAAGTAATTCACCTCATTGTCCTCAGTGGGATTGGTAACTAATCTCTGTCATTTCCATAGTCAACAAACTATCCCCTTTTGGTTTCTTCATTTTATGTTCAACCCCATTTGATTCTTTAAGTTCCTATTCATGTCATTGTTTTCTTTTTTGTCCACCCAATATTGGTTCATTATGCTCATTCTATTGTATTCGAGTCAAAATATTTCACTTTTTCCTTAGTGGATTCTTTTGTGTTACTGTTGTGCAGTCATCATCAATCTTTTTTATTAAAGATACGATTGATCATCTAATAATCAATCTTTTTATAAACATCTTAAACTTGACTTAGGCTCTTAAAAAAATAGGTTTTGATTTGTATTACAGAACTAAGTTATGAAGTTCGATTACATGTAAAAAAGGTTATAGCACCTTACATGCCCATCTTAAGATAATACTATTTAATTTTAAATTATCCTTAAAAAAATCATAGTTTAAATGGTGTTTTATTTTGTTAAATTTTATTATTTAAATATTAGAAATAATTTTTAAGTTTTCTTCATCAATTTGACAGAATTCTTAAAAACACTTTCTCATCTTAAGAGTATTCAATAATTTTATTTGTTTTCTTGAAGAGACTCTATTGTCGAAAAAAAAAAAAGGATTCATTCAGTTTTTTTTTCATCAAAATTTTGCTTTATCGAAAATATATCTAGATTTTTCATCATTTGAACCAAATTTAAAAATATTTTCTCACCTAAAAATTTTTTAGATAATAATCTATTTATGATTACTAAGAATTTCATCTTCGAAATTTATTCTTTATTTTGGTAAGTTTTATTTGTAATATTCTAAAGTTTCCACCATTTGCACCAAATTTGAAAAAAATTTCTCACATAAAAATTTCTTATAAAACTAACTATTTGAAATTCTTAAAAATCTCACCATCGAACAATTGTTAATTTATTCCCAAAATTTTATACAATTTATTTTTATATATTCTTTGAAAATAAATATTTATTATGATTATTAAAATTTTATCTAAAATTTTCTTCAATTTTGGTTAAAACTTGAAAAATCTTTCATCCAAAATTTTTAAAAAATCACCTATTCATGATCTTTAGAATCTTATCACCAAATTTATTTTATTTATTTTATTATTTCTAAAATTTTATTTACATTCTTATTTTTATTGTGTTTTGAATTTAAGTGTTAATTATTATCATTGAATTTTTATCTAATTTTGCCATCATTCTGGCAAAAAAAATCATTTAAAAAATTTCAAGAAAATTAACTATTCTAAATTTCATTTATTTCCCAACAATTAAACTTTTTTAGAAAAATTTCCAATCTAAAAGAAAATTAAAAAAAAAAAAAAAGAATAAAGGAAAAAAGAAAAATACCCAAAAATAGAAAAATCAACTCAAGTCAACAACTTAAGCCGGTTCAATTCAGTTCAAGTGATCTAAACCGGCCCAAATTGGTTTTCTGGTGGTCTAAATACTCAGTGGAGCGAGTCAAGTCGATTATGGGCTAAAGCGCGAGTCATTTGCCGATTTCGGAGGATCCGATTCATTAACACCAAAGCAGCACTGTTTTGTTAAGTGTATAAAAGTCAAGTTTTTTCTCTTTTCTTTTAGTTTTCTTTCTTCCCTCTCTAAAAAACCCAAAATTCTCTAACTTCTCTTTACATATGAGCTGGTCGAACTTCAAGCCTAATGTAGAAAATAGTGGTTCTCTTCCACGTCGATCGTCACACCTTGCCACCGGCCTTAACCCAATCAAGCCCAAAGTTTCACCGTTACCTCCTCTTGGCTTCTTCGTCTCAAACATGATCTCTGATTTTTGAAAATCACCTTCAAACAGCGTAGATTTGAAGCCAAAACCATGGGATTTCCACCATAGTTGCTAATTTCATTTTGATACCGACTGTATTAGCTAGTAATTTCCAGTTATACCAAAATATAATACATCTAAATATATTTTTCGCATTAGATTTGATATTAATTAATATTAATTGTTTTTAATGATTTCGACTGATTTTGGTCTAACTTATTTCAAAATATATAAATGTGAAACATATAAAATAAATTTTAATTTATTTTTTCGTTATTTAACTATTTTATTTTATTAAAAATAAAATTAATTGATAAAATAATCTTTAAAAGTTATTTTTTTATTTTTTATTATAATTTATTTTATTATATTTTATTTTTTCAAATCAAAATTTTTAAATATTTCAATCTCTTTTAAAAAATTAATTATATTTCTTTTTTAAAATTTAACAATCATAAAATTAAGATTAATTATTTTTATTTTTTTATTTTTAGCTTAAAATTTATATAAAAAATATTTATTTAAATATCATATGATCAAATTAAATATTTAAAAATATTATAAAAAATTTATAATATTATTTTTATATTTTAAAATTTTTTTATTTAATTTTTAAAAATATTGTATATTTATTTTTTAATTGATAAATTCATATATATTTATAAACATACTTATATTAAATTAAAAATTTTAAAATAATTATATTAAAATCACCGGTAAAGATATAAACCGTATTTTTAAAGAAAATTGAAATATTATCCGATATTAACAACCTTGCTTTCCACCGCCCAGTCAACTTTTCTCACCTTCCGATGTTCTTAAAGTTTTCAATATGTCATTTCCCTCATCATTCTCTCTCTTTTCGCTGTTCAGATCTCCCAACAAACACATCACGGTCGCCGATCACCATTGCTGCCGTCACCCAGTGAAACCTAAAACTTCTTCCTCTTACCCTTCTTTATGGTTTAAAAATCCCAAAAACACTTAGCCAGAAAGCCAAATGATCAACTCATTGTTGAAATTTTTTTTTTATATTTCGTATTTGCTATTGGTGATTTACTCGCTGGTTTCTTCAATTGTGAATGATGCTTGCTAGTTTATGTTGCTTACTTCGATGATGATTTTCTGTGTGTCATTGCCTGTATCTCTATCAATTACTTATTGATGTTTAACTGTGATTCACTGCAATTGTGAGATTTTTTCGATTGTATTTTTATGTGTTGGGACTTGTTGAAGTGGGTTTTTTTATTTGCTGGGTTTCTATTGCAGAAAAGGTGATGGAATGGGTGCTAACAAGGGTGTGAATACATTGGTCTCGGCTTCTTGTTTGGAAATGGTGGTGAATGGTTTTTGTGATTGTTGATTAAGGCAGGTTCTTTGATTGTTTTTGTTTCTCCTTTTGGATTGTAACTAAAATTGCTGGGTGTGGGTGATGTGGTGCGATTTTGCTTAGTGGTGAGATGGCAGTAAAGTAATGTACTGTACTCAGGCAGAGATGGTAGAATGGTAGTGGTGAATGGAAATTTGGATGGCAGTGTGTTTGTGCTTGGATGGTTGCTTAACCGCTCCCAGAATGTGCTTGAATGTGCTCTTTAAATAAAAACTGAGTCTCAACAGAATTCAAGAATCAAAGATAAGATTCATTTCGTGGGATTTTTCTATATGATTTATTTTAATTTTAATTTTAATCCCAACAACTTTATCTTCAAAGGAAGTTTAGTCCAAACCAAATTTAAATATTATTGTTTATCATTTTTTTTTTAATTTTTATCTTCTTAAAAAATATATAATAATAATAAAATAAAATAACATAAAATACAAAAATATAAATGCATAAATGGGCTGATTAGGATTTAAAATCTAAAATAAACTAAAAACTCAAATGACAAACCCAAAGTCAATTAGGCTAGCCCGAAGCTCAATTAAAACCTTACAACTTAGATTATTTAAATCACATCTGACACTAACGGGAGATTTAAAAACATTTTCAATGATTTCAAGATGTTTATAAGTAAATAATTCACATAACTTCCATGCAAATCATGGTTATCCCGGGATTCTCGCAAGCTTGGATGCGAGACCCGGCTAATGTCGCCCCTTCCCATGTGCAGCTTCCTATTCACCCGCTCGAACGTACGTCCGTTTTAAAGTATGATAGGTTCCTAAGCCAATGGACAGGTGATGGGACAAAAACAATAAAAGTGACTTGCCAATCACGACAAGGGAGGGGTAGGTAGGTATCATTTTTCTATCTAAATTCGACAAGTGGTGGGATAAAAACAATAAAATTGACTTGCTAATCAGGACAAGGGAGGGGTAGGCAGTTACCATTTTTCCAAACCTAAATTGTTGCTTGAACACTCAAATAGCTATTTTCATCAATGTTGTAATTGGGCAATATCTTAATGCATGAAAAGGACAGTACTCTCCATCAGGTATTATATAAGCGTGTGTTTGGGAACTAAAGGAGGTTCTTAATTACTAAAACACTCACAAGAATCAACTATGGCATTGGCAACTGACGTGTTTGGGGAGCCCGTCACCGAAAATGTTGTGATGGGAATCCCGGAGTATGCGAACAGGGCACGCCAAATCAGAGCAGATGTGGCTAGGCGATGGAAAGAAAGAGATGGTAAGTACGAAAAAGCTTTGGAATACGTCAAGGCGTTGAAAAGTCAATGGGGCACAGGAGTCTCCACACTCTGCCTCGTTTACAATGCTACCGGTGAACCATTGACCTTTGTTACTGGTCATGATTGGGTGACAATAAATTTGAATCGGGAGAGGGGAGGGGTAGGTAGGTGTCATTTTTCTAAACCTAAATTCGACTAGTGGTGGGACAAAAACAATAAAATTGCCTCGCTAATCAGGACAAGGGAGGGACAGGTAGGTATCATTTTTCCAAACCTAAATTTTTGCTTGAACACTCAAATAGCTATATTCATTAATGTTGTAATTGGGCAATATCTTAATGCATGAAAAGGACGGTACTCTCCATCAGGTATTATAAACGTGTGTTTGGGAACTAAAGGAGGTTCTTAATTGCTAAAACACTCACAAGAATCAACTATGGCATTGGCAACTGACGTGTTTGGGGAGCCCGTCACCGAAAATGTTGTGATGGGAATCCCGGAGTATGCGAACAGGGCACGCCAAATCAGAGCAGATGTGGCTAGGCGATGGAAAGAAAGAGATGATAAGTACGAAAAGGCTTTGGGATACGTGAAGGCGTTGAAAAGTCAATGGGGCACTGGAGTCTCCACACTCTGCCTGGTTTACAATGCTACCGGTGAACCATTGACCTTTGTTACCAGTCATGATTGGTTTGGGCACATTTACCAGACATACCCACGGGTGATTGCAAATGGGCAGTGGGGTGGGTTTTTGCATGTCAAAACTGCTGGGGCAGCTTCTGGTTCAGAGGCAGCCGTTGTTTATCGCGGCAAAAATAAGGATGGAAGAGCCACTGACTGGCTGCTGGCTTGGGACAACCCTTGGAGGAGAATTGACCTTGACAACCAGGTAAAATTTTTAACTTAATAATAATTATAATAATTACTTATAGTAGTACTATTAATTTCAATCCTTTATTAATTATCTATTTATATGTATAATTAATTTTTTTTTTGTATAACAGTCATTGATATATCTTTAACTTTTATTTAGATTTAATTTCGTCTATTTTTAAAATATATTCTTTTAATAAAATTAGATATGATAATTTTAATCACAATAATGATAATTTTGTAAACATCAATTTTTGTTTGCATTAATTTTATATTCTAAATTAATTTAACTTTAGAATTTATTTTCAAATTTTCATTAGATCAATTTAATATTGATTTTTAAGTTATGAATTGTTAATAAGAACTCCAAAATTAACTTCAAATGTGATCAAGTTAGTAAAGTTCGAAATTGAGTTTAAGATATTGGGTCAAAGTCCATTGCAATATGCATGAGTCAAAAAGACTTAAAATCTTAAGGTCCAAATCAGTTGGGCTTGAAAGCCCAACGTCTAATTTCCATGTTTTAAGCCTAAACTTGTTTCATGTTTTAATTTGAAAAAATTAAAAAAAAAAAAGAAAGGAAAAAGGGAAGTCAATGAGAATGGGTGCTTTACCCACGAGCTTTCATCGGCCTAGCCCCAATCTACCCACCATTGAGCCCCTGCACCAATCCCTTCTAGTCCTATCAGCCACCCTAACATTACAATTCTGATATAGCCACCATGGATAGCTCAAAACCTGCTGGTAATGGGATTTGAATCCCTGAAATTAAAGGATTGGTCTAAAACACCTACACAATAAAATTAAGACAAAATCATCGAAGTAGGGGATTTTTTTTTTAGACACCATAAACTTTGCAAAAATACTCTTACATACACCAAAACTAATTCAATCGAATCACCCCTGAATCCATCATTCGGCCGATATTTCCAAAACTCACCACAATGAGCCTCAACAGCCTAACCAAAACATTATCTACCCTGCAGTCGAAACCTACTACTGGATTTAATACCTTCAAATCCCAATAGCTCTCTATTTTCCACCACCATTTGACAGCTTCATGATCACCCTTCACCCATAACGCAAACATTAAATAAAATAAAACTCAAACCCAAAACTTACCTTTATCAAAAAACCCATCCATAAACAAAAAAAAAAAAAAAAAAACACAAGAAAAAATCCATATCCCCTGGAAGGGGAAAAGCAGCGCAAAAAAACAATAAAAAAAAACCAAAAAGATAAAAAAATGAGGGAAAAAGGCCATGGAGCCTCGGTTAGGCGATTCTAGGGAAGTTTCAGAGCATTAGGTTTGTTAAGAAAAAGGTATTAGGCAACAGAAAGATATACTAAAAGCCTCAACACAGTGAGCCTCAACAGCCTAACCAAAACATTATCTCCCCTGTAGCCGAAACCCACTATTGGATTCAGTACCTTTAAATCCCAATAGCTCTCCATTTTCCACCACCATTTGATAGTCTCATGATCGCCTTTCACCCACAATGCAAACGCTAAACAAAACAACACCCACACCCGAAACTTCATTACAAAACCTGTCCAAAAACCAAAAAACACCAAAAAAAAATCCACATCCCTTGGAAGGGGAGAAGCAGCACGAAAAAATAAAAAAAAAAACTAAAAAAAAAAGAGGGAAAAAGGCCATGGAACCTTGATTTTGGCGATTCTAGGGAAGTTTCAAGGCATTAGTTTTGTTAAGAAGAAGTATTGGGCAATAGAAAGATATACTAAGAGGACCGATTTAGAGTGATAGGGGCTGATTTTTCGAGCTTAACAACTGTAATTTACAAATCAAATCTAGAAGAATCCAGAAAGTTTTTAAGAGATATAAGTTGGGAAAGGGAAAGAGGATAACAAAAAGAGTCATGAGAAAATTTTGAAGGACTTTATGGCATCGACTGATGGCGATTAGCGACGAGGGCGGAAAGGCTGGCCGAAAATTGGGAAATATGTGGTTATTGGCTTTATGTTTCAAAGCAAATGAGAGATTTGAGGTTTAGTGATCGAAAATGAAAAGGACAAATGAAAGAGATAGTAAATTTTTTTAGGTTTTGTAATTGGTAGGTTAATTAAAAGTACGTAGTTTTGGGAAGAAGAAAAGAAGACCATGGCAGCTGCCAACCCAACCCGTTTTATTGACCAGCCCATGACCCAAGAGAGGTCCAAACTGTATGGATCTATTTTGGGCAATTGATCTAGATCTCATTATTTGAATGGTTTTGGGCTTTGAGTTCAAAGGTAATTTGGGTATGTTCCATTATTTGGTTATGTTTTATATTTATTTGTTTTAATGCTTCTTAATATGAATTAGTGATAAATTTATTTATGAAAAATTATTGTTAGTGTAAATTTTATATGAAATTTAGTAATAAATGAATAACACTCTAGAGATGAAGATTTAGGTATCTTGAATAGGCAATATCTAAAAAATTTTTAGGAGAAAAAACTTTTTTCAATATTATTAACGTATTATAATATTTTAAGAGTTTTTTCAATAATAAAATTTCAATTTATTTTTTTCAAATAAAATAGAATAATAAAAAAAATGAAAAGAAGATTAATAAAAAAAAAAGGTCAAAATTATAATGAATAAAGGTAGTTAAGGAAATTATTCTTAAATACCAAAATGAAGATTTTTTTTTATCAAAATTAAAGGATAGTATATAATTAATTAGTATTATTTTTTAATGAATGCTATGAGAGTGTTGATCATTCCTCACACGTAATCACAACAGACATGATTTAAAATTTTAACAAATATTATATATGCATTTGGTAAAAATCAAAATATTTATTTTATGTTTGGCATAAAATTTTACATGTATTAAATATGAAATAAACAAAAATATATACACGAATTGTTAAATTTAAATATTACTATGCATTTTTTCAAGATGCTATCTACTTCTCATTCTCATTGACAAAGAAAGAGTAATGCAATGCATGTGTGCAGGCGTATGCTGAGATCCACGCAGCTGGCTACTTTGAAAGGGTTGACTGGGGGGCAATTGCCAAATGCTTAGAAGGGGCTACTTCTCAGCATTATGCAGCATGGGAAGGATGCATTGCATACGTAAAGACGGAAAGTGATACTTCTCCTCTCTATGAGGCAGTACTTTCACTTGAATAAGCTGTTTTTATTATATCTATAACATCTATAAGGGTGAGAAAATGCCACTACCTCGCAGTATAACAATAGTCTTTAGCTTTTTGGTTTAATGGTTGGGAAAGCTTAAAAGAACATGCAAGGTAAAACGTCAAACTTCACTATCTTGTCAATTTGTCATGTATTTATAATTGTAATCTAGGAGTATGTGTGTGTGAACTCTTATTTATCTGTTATTGGTGATAATATCGTCATTATCTTTTTTGTCTGTCTTTAAAAAATCTAGAAAATAACATTTATGGTATTATATCACATTTGTTAAATTTTTAATTTTCACTTTGTTTTTCCTAACAGTTGTGCTACATGGTGGGAAAGGAACTAATATATATATAATTTCCCCTTTCAAGATCCTTTAATTTGTAGTGGCAAAACTTTTTAAATTGTTCAAAAGTATTAGTGAGTTTTTCCAAGATCTCTCTTAAGATAATTATGGAATCAAATCTATAATTAATATCTTTTTAATTACTACTAGAAAAAAAAAGTGTTACTGCATGTGCATCCTTTGTAGATAATGCCTAGTTTATCTTCTATGGGTGTTCCCTTCCTCTCTTTTCCTTTTGATCATATTTATCCAAAGATCCGAGGTTTTTCCAACATGTAGGGTTTTTAAAATATTTATTTTTTAATAGGAGAAATTTTAAACTTATTTCTTTAAGAAAGGTATTTATGTCATGTTAATGACATATCAATTCCATATCCTATTTTATAAATAATAGTTTAAACAAAACGTATATGTTTTTTAAATTGAAACATTATACATGTAAGGTTTCTTTTACTAAATTATAATCTCTCGTAAACCCTAAATATTATTTTCTCCCTACATTTTACTTTTTTTTATTAAAAACAATTTTCTTTATAAAATTTTAGACCACAGAGGTTTGTAAAGGAAATTATATTTGGCAATATTGTTCCTGATCTCAAATTTTTTTTTGATTTTGTAAGAATTCTAAGCCTTGTAGTTTTGGCATTGAATTATAATATAACCTCCAAGTTAATTAGGCAAGCAAAATTAGTAAAATTCATACTAGTAGGCTTTGTTTTTACATGTATAGACCATAATTTATTGGGTTATTTTAATTTAGAATCTTTTTATTATCAATTTTTTCTTGACTAAGAGAAATCCAATTGTCATTATTGCATCATTCTCTTTTTTTTTTTTTGTTTTTGGTGAGAGTATCATATATTTTGATGAACTCAGAATTTGAACTTGAGCTAAGATAGACCATACAATTGAGGACATCTTTGCCCATGTAGTTTTCTCCATGATCAAGCCATAAAGGGTTTGAGACTAGAGTTTAATATTTCATAAAGCTTACAAAGAGCATTATGAGAATATTGCCTGTTTATGGACTTCTTTCATAAGTGAATAAAAAATCATAGTTTTAGCTTATATTTTTGTTTACAATTTCTAACTACCAGTGGAATCTCTGGTCAGAGATATATGCAATACAATTTCAATTGCATTGTTTGAATTAAAAATAAGTAGATTTTAAATTTCTTACATCTTAAATAGCTTGGTAAAGTGGATGGCTTTTCTACTTGAATTGTTTGCTTTTGTATCCAAAGCAATTGCATTTGGTATTTTTATGTATTATCGAAATTTTTATTATTTATGATATTGAGCTAATAATTATTTTTTATTGTTTCAATGCTAGTTGGTAATGATTGGAAGAGAAATTTCAATTTTTTGTTATTGGAATGGTAGCATCATTGAAGGATCAAATGGCTTGCGTTATAATGGTCCTCCTTTGAAAGCAATTAAATTGAAGCGAAAAACGAAATTCAACACATTGATAGACAAAATGTATTGCATTCTAGAATTTGATAGAGAGTGAGTACAACTAAATTTGATTTGTCAATATCCAACAATAGTAAAATCATCAATGATTAAATATATCTATGTATTTATTGTGGATGATGGTAGCATCGATATCATGTTGGAAATTTCATCTATTTATCTCTCTATCAGCAATGTTGAAGTGTATTTAGAAGTAGAATCAATTTTTATTGGACCTGTTGAATATAGGCATCAATCTACAAGTTTTGTTCCATTTGCGCTATTGCCAACACAAGACAATGACACTTCATTGAATCATGCTAATGCCCACCACGCTAATCATCCATTTTCACCAAGTAGTAGTGAACCTATCATAGAAAGGCAAGTATCAATCATAGGTAATATTTTTGGATTCTCTAATTACGAAAATATTAGCCAATATGACAAAGATACAAGTATGAATAAAACTACAGTAGACATTTTGGTTTTATTTTGAATCTAACAATATATTCAAGGATATGAATGTGAATAATGAAGTACTTGAAGAAGAAAATGAAGAACACGAAGAGCAAGAAGATTTTGAAGAAGTCAACCTAAAAATCGATAATACCACTATAGAGGTGTCACTTCATGAGCCAAACATGTCACTTTTCACCAATATTGATCAAGTTAATGATGCTATTATTAGTAATTGGACACCACAAAGCTAAAATTTTGTTTGGAATCATGATCTTGAGTTGAGAAAAGGTTTAATTTTTCAAGATAAGGTAAAATAAAAAAAAGTTGTACAATTGTACTCCATTAAAAGACACCAAAAGTATGAAGTGGGTGAAAACAAAAAAAAAATACGATCATTGAAGGGCAAAAGGTATTGGAAAAGTGGATGCAAATGGAGGCTTCATACGTATCAACATAAAAGTCATGGAATTTTGAGATTGCTCAATACAATGGCCCTTATACATGTGTCTAACTAAGGTTGAGTTGTGATCACCCATAACTAGACTCAAATTTGTTAGCACATAAGATTGAAAGTCAAATGAAAGTTGAACCTTCTATTCTAGTTGCAACTCTAAATACTAAGGTAATTTTTTTTATAATGTCTTATACAATATGTGGCATGCAAAACAGAAGGCCATCACAAATGTTTTTGGTGATTGGGACACATTTTATAGGGTATTACCTAAATTTATTGTTGCACTTGAAAAGTGTAATGGGACGATTATTATGTGGCAATTTAAGTAGTTGCGAGATTCTACTATTTGAGTATTTGAACTATTCCATCGTGTCTTTTGGGCTTTTCCACCTTCCATTTAAGTATTGTAGACCAATTACAAGTATTGATGTTACTAATTTGTATGAAAGATATGAAGAAAAAATGCTTATTGCGATGTGAGTTGTTGCTAATAACCAGCTTTGCCACTTGCATTTGCTATTGCTGAAAAAGAACCTTTTGATAGTTGAAAATGGTGTCTTACTTGCATTAAAGAGAAAGTCACTCAACAAAAAGAATTTGTTTGATATCTGATCGTTATTGTGGTATTTATGTAGTAATGAATGAGCCTGGCTCTATATGGTAAGAACTATGGGCTTATCATCGATTTTGCTTGTGATATATATGCAGTAAATGATAAGTTTCATAATAAAAACTTGCAAATACTTAAGTATAGAGCTAGAAATGTGCATCAGTTATGAAAGTTTGATACCATAATGAAAGAGATAAAAATGATTAATCCCAAAGCTCGAAAATGATTAGATGAGATACTGATGCAACAATGGGCACTGGCATATAATGGTGGTTAACGTTAGGGAATAATGACAACTAATTTATCTGAGGTGTTCAATAGTGTGCTAAAAGGGGCTTGAACTTTACCTATCATAGCATATTGCAATTAATCTTTTATTGATTGGTTAACTTTTTCAGCACCAGACAAGGCATTGTACTAAGCCATTGGCAAAAAAAAACTTGTACACTCCTCATGTTACAACTAAACTTTAAGGTTATTTGGCAAAGGCTAACACACATGATCTTGTTCCATTTGATATACAAAAAGAGTGTTTGAAGTAATAACTACATCTTATGGTGAGAAAATGCAATGAAGTCATAACAAACAAGTTGTTCAACTTGATAAAAAAACATGTACATGTGAAAAATGATAAATTTATAAGTTTCCTTTTCCACATATGATGGCTGTATGTGGAAGGTTGGCACTTGATAGTTAGGAATACATAGAAAAGTATTATTCCATTTAACAATACTCCCAAACTTAGGTACCTCAGTTTAATCCAATCCCTCATGAAATTTCTTAACTAGAGCCTAATATCTTATAATTATTATCGAATCCTAATCATAAATGCTTAAAGAAAGGTTAACCACAATCTACATGAATTAGAACTAAGATGGATATCAATGAATGTTGAACAACAATTCGTTACAGACTTTGTAAACAACCAGGCCATGATTATAGGACATGTCAAATGAAAAGACATAAAAATTTAAATGCATCTATAGTTTAAAATGAGATATAAGGTTTTTTTTTTATTCTTTCTCATTTTAGTTTATTGAAGATGTACTTTGATAACTAATTTCTCTAAAAAAAACTACTAGCACTTTATATTTTTCACACTTCATTTCTAAATTATCAATTTCTTCTATTTTTGCTTGTATGTTTGCTTGCATTTTCTTTGTATTATCTTTTTTTTTTCATTTCCAATGCTAAAATTTTCAGCAATAGATTTTGAGACTAGATTTTTTACTTTTGACTCTAATTTCATAAATTAATAAAAGGAATTTACTTGTCTAATACTGGGAAAGAATGGATATTCATGAGAAACATTCTTTTTCTTTTCAAGTTAAAAATTATTTAATCTATATTTTTTCAAATATATATAAGGTTACCAAGAATTCTAAGAAGATTAATATCCAAAATTTGTCAATGGAATGATTGCAGATGGCATCTCTAAGTAATTTTGTTGAGCAAGCACCTTATTTTTCTTTTTAAGATATGAACTTCTTCATTTCATAGTTTCATGAAGGTTTTATGATTTTGCCTTTAATTTACTAGTTTTGTCTTTTAATTATATTACGAAAATGTTGGTTACTTTCAAATTTGATTGGTTTTAACATAATTTATTTAGAGTAAGTAAAGAGCATAAAATATTTAAAATTTTTGAGCCCAAATAATTATTAACTTTTCATTATTCAATTGCAAATATGTGCTTAATTCGAAAAAAAAATTGAAATTTTTTATTACTAGAAACAGAACAAGAAAGCTTTGATACAAAGTTAACAACTGCAATAGCAACAAATAAATGAATATAAAAGAGAAAAAAATGCATTTTGAAAAGCCTTTCACTAAGTCCTCATTTATAGATCTCTATTGACTAAGTGATAAAAAATTTCAATGACATTTGCAATGTCCTAGCTTGATATTCTATACAATTGATCTTGATGAAACAACATCTATATAATTGATTTTGGTTTCAGTTGACAACTGATTTTTAGTTGTCTTGAACTAGTCTTGATAGGGCAGCATATTCGAAAGAGAATCCAGATACAAAACACCCTCAATAATATCATATCGACTAAAATGGAACCATAAGATCAACTTCAGTAGTTGATGGGTGAGGTAGCAAACGTATTAACTAAAAACTCTTTTTAAGAAAGCATTGGAATGATAATAAATATTTATTAAAAACATTTTACATATTTGCAAAGAGGAATTAAGATGTTGTACATTTTTTACCATAAAAATGGCTAAAAAAAAAGTCCTTTAGAGCCTTCAGTTTGCCATTCAAGTAGGCACATACAACCATATGCTATAAAGTTAGAACAAATTTAGTAAATACAGGCTTCAACCTTCAAATATATCATTTAGCAAGTTTGACATAAAGCACCTTCCCAATGTGACTAGCTGCAACTACCCAGATAAGTCAACTGAGCATTCAAATGATCTTTTTTGAAAATTTGATGATTCCTACATATAATAAATGCATAATTGGTAAAGGTTTCTACCATTCAAAGGTATATAAATAGATATTATACTACATAACACTGGAAGAAAACCTTTAGATATTGAAGCATAGTTTTCAATCTTATCATCTTCAAATTGTGTAAACAACTATTCTCCAAATATTTTTACATCTAAGAACAGCTTCTTTTGGAAGTGAACATGCCCAAAAGACCAATAAACCTTTTGAGATTATATAGAGCATCCTGAAACTAAAAGGGAAGGCTTGGTTTTAAAGAAACTTATGGCTTTACCGGCAAAAAGAATTAACTTTTTAACACGTATATAGATATACTCATGCAACATATCCTACAAAACACCAATAAAAGTATAAATAGCTTGCAATAGCAACAAAACTAAGAACCTTTTTGAAATAAGTATCTATTAGATCTTTTTTATCAAGAGATTCATTTTTAGGTTTTCTTCCACTTAACTTGTAGGTTTATAGTAACACAACATAGATTACTAGTTTATTAACATACATATTTAACCTAACTAGGAAATCCACCCACAAATCCCTACTTCTTAATTATTGCTAATGGAAAAACTAAGGATGATGACATTCATCTATGCAAACTAATGTCTTCAACGACAAACACAAATGTAGATATAAAGGTAGATCAATGACTATTATCAAAACAAATCAACTTTTTTGTCTCACAACATACAGTTCACCCAACTAGTTAGTAAGTAAGGAAATCCAAAAAACAATAAATGATCAATTAAGATTTTTTGATTTGTTTAATTATTCAAAAGAGGCTAAAGCAAAAAGATTTGACAAGTAACTCTGAAGAAAATATGGAGTTTTTGCAAGTGCTTTTGTAACATAAGAACCAAAAAGGTATAATTTGCAACATATAGAAACAAGCATGACTATACAAAATTATAAAATCCTTTAACTGTGTTGGTTGTTGTACTATATTATTCATGTCAATAGATTTGCCAACTTTACCAAAAAATTGGATAATTTTGCATCTTTCCCAAAGTTGCCATTGTATTCATCATGAATTTTGGTTTAGCAAAAAAAATAATAATAAATGACCAATGCAAGAACAACTCAAAGCTTTAACTCTAATCTTAGATTCGAAAATCCTAAATACTTGATGTGGCATAAACAAATTATTTAGAGCATTCCATCC